AAAATTATTTTTATTTATTATAAAAAAAATTTAATAGAAATGTTTTAGATTTATCTTTTAGTAATCTCTCTTCCCAAATTTTAAAAATATCACTACATCCACAAGTGATACTTTCTCAATTTACAGAGGAGTTAAAATATAAAAATAAAAGAGTTTATAAACCAGACTTGCAAATATGTTTTGAAATTAAATTCATATAAAATTAATAAGACTAAAAAAAGAAGAATCATTGATACCAATTATATAGATATTATAGAAAATGATACCAAGATTGTAAAATCGAGATTAAAATCTCATGAATCTCTAGTCACTACTTTTTTCAACTTTCAAAGAATTTGTGTTCGACTTTTCGTATGCGGAAATACGGGTTCGTAACATGCCATAACGTGTTGTATCACGCCATAATGCGTTACGGTGAAAGACAAGTCTTAGATGGAGCCATAAAAGTTAACACGACGACAAACCCAAGCCTTGACACCATAACGTGCCATAACGAGTTATTTAGAACCATGATTCTTATATATAAACCTCTTCCAAAGGCTTCATCTTGATAAAGTGGTCCATTTCACTTTTGATCTTTCACCGTTGTCGATGCTCAGTTTGAATTAAAATGGATTGTGTCGATCCGTTGACTCTTTTTTTTTTAATTTTATATATAATTTAATATATCAAACGAAAATTTAAAATAATTAATAAAATATAATATTGTTAATTTAAATAAACAATTTAGGTGGCAATGGACAATTTTATATTATTTTAAACGATTTTAAAAATCATTTAACTTATTTTATAATTTTACCAGTTTATCATCGTTTACACCAATAATTTATGAAAGTGAATTATGTGTTGCTTTTCCTTCAAACAACATTGAAATAGACATCCAACATCGAGATTACGTACAGAAATTTTCAATTTCAATAGCTTCATCGTGTACTCTGTCATATTTATAAAACGGATATTTTTCTTCAATAAATCAACCATTAGAATGCTTATTAACTTATTTCGGTGTAATACCGGTAATAAGAAGTTTTTAGTGTTTAGATGGAGAAAAAAAAAATACTTACACCGGTTTGGTACCGGTAATAAGGAGTTTCTGATAAGTTACTTCTTTCTAACTTATTAACTTGTTCCAGTATGGTACCAGTAATAATCAGGTGTGGTACCGCCATAAGTTAATCCAAACATTTTTTTTTATAAAACTCCAGTTTGCCATCATATAAGTTGATAAACACTTTTACAAAAAAATATAAGTTGTTTTTAAATAAGCAATCCAAACACCCACTAAGTGAGTCAAAATGTATTTTTTTTTTGTCCCATCAAAATAGGTGAAATAAAAATTACGAGGATGAGACAATTGATGAAAATACCAATGTAAAATTATAATCCTGATACCTTCCACGATTCTTTCACCCACCTGTCTCATTTTTTGTCGTCCAATTTCATATTGCTCCTGATGTCCAATCTAAAACCAATCCGTCCACATATCAAATGCATTTTTAGACCATCTCCAACCATATTATTATAAAAAAAACATCAAAATGACGTGTCCATTAACACGAAAACGGAAATTCTTCTCCGATATTTTTACCGTTCTTTTTACCTGCCGATTTAAGTTTCCATCTCCGACCAAACAGTATTTTTGCAGTGCGGTTAAAGAGTCCATTACAAAACAAAAAGGGGTGATTTTGTTGGGAATGAATGAGAAGATGTGGTGGTTAGAAACATGTAAAGAGTGCATTAAAAGTTGTACTTAGAATGCATTTATGAAGAGATGAGAAACCCAGATTTACAAATGCTTATTCATATGTGAATAAGATGAATATGAATATGAATATGGATGTTAAATGAGGAGAGAGTGAGTTGCTTGGTATAAAGGCAACTGACACCACTCATTGACTCTACAGTCTTACTACTTGAATTCAACATTGAATGCCCTCCTGACAAGCCTCCCTCTTCAATATCTCTCGTATTTTGCACACATTCAACATATTTAATGCAATCTCTCCTATTCACTAACCCTATACTCATTAATGTTTACAAATGTCTATCATAAAAACATATATCAGTTTCTTATGTCTGATTTGTTAAGAGATAAAACCATTCAAACTGTTTGTTTTTTTTCAAATTCTTAGGGATATTTATGTCTTATTTTTCTTTTATCTGATAAGAGGTAAACCAACTTCTTATTGTTAATCAGATCCCTAACGACGACATTTCTCAATTGATTACTTTTATCAAATCAATTGTCACCTCTCTCAAATAATGTATTTTAATAAGATGTAAATGTGTTAAACACCGTTAATGACATATTTTTGTTTAAATGAATCTTAATTATATGATTTAGATGTAAATTTCATTATGATGAATAAATATGCAAAATTGTATAAATTCAACACTATAATTTTAATGGGTGAAATAGACAATTTAAACGAATTTATACGTTTATCAGTTTACAAAAACAAACAGTTTTATTGATTTAGATTTCAAAATTCAACACCACTTTTTATAAATCAGAAGTGAAATAAGAGTTCAGACTTCAGCACCTTTTAGAAAACAAATGTCACCTATAACTTATTTTAAAGATATATAAGTATTAATTTTGAAATAAGTTAAAGGGAAATAACCATTTTTAGGGAGCAAATTTATCTTTCAGCCATTGTTCTCTATGATTCTCAAAATATCGCTACCTCCGCAAGTGCCACCTCCAACTTGTGAAGAAGCTAAAAGACAAAAAAAAATCATTTTTCACCCAGGTCCACAAATGACACCTCCGCAAACGTGAAACGTGAATTTCTTTTAGCTCCTTCGTGAGTCACGGATGTGTCACTTGCAGATGTAGTAATATTTTTTGAAATTCTGGAAAAAAATGGCTAAAAGATAAAATTGATCCCTGGAAATGATTATTCCTATTAATTTCACTGAATTAAAATCAAAATATAAACATTTATTTTGAGACGAACAAAGTAACATGGTTTTTAAAATAACACATTGGTTTCAGTAATTAATTTTCCAATATTTTTTTTAGATCGTTTTACATTATCATCTTATTTATCAAACATAACTAATTTATCAGCTAACTAGCTTATTAGTCAATAAGTGGTATGTCAAACATACTCTTAACATATGTTTTAAAGATACCCTTTTCATCAACAATTTCTCAAGTATCGTTTTAGCTCTCAGTAACAACGTATAGAATATAGATTTATTTTCCACAAACAGAGAATACATGTATATGTTGTACATGAAAATCTCGAACCCTATCAACCCCGAGTTTGACTCATATCATTGTAGAAGCAAACCGTTTGACAAAACCGACTCGTTTTACCAACACATGTATTCGTATCGAGCTTAACGACTAAAAAACGAAAAATTTGTTAACAAGTAATCATACAATGAAATGATTTCAATAAACTCGGGAACCTATATGATTTTAGATTACTTCACCAATTTAAGGGATCGTTTACTAAACGCATACAAGGTGTCATTTACCTTACCAGGTGAATATAACAAGAAAACAGAAAAGTTTACCCAATAAAAGGCATAGCAAAGATCAATTATCTTACCCAATAAGTGAGAAATAAGACTCTAACTTGATAAGCGTTTGCCAGTTAAAACGCCTGGAAATAATCCATTTTATAATTTTAATGACATAAAATGTTATCCAATAAAATAAGTAAAAATGATACCTCTTGCCTGTAAGAACTTACCCGGTAAACGTTCGATAAATAAACTCAATCATCACTATCACACACACACACACACACATATATATATATATATATATATATATATAACAAATCAAATACAAACCATAGAAAAATTACAAACCAATCTCAAACGTTTTTCTAGTTTAACGAATATTTGGTTTTATAATTGTTTATTAATATAAAACGTTGATCATAATAAATAAACTCTAATAATCTTTCATAAAATATTCAAATCATAATAAATGAAAGTTTATTATTTCTATAAATATGTTCATTGATTGATTTTTAACCTTTCCTTGGTTTATACTTGGTATTTGAATAAGGACAAATTCAAACAAGAAATAAAACATTTTATGAGAACTTGAGAGGTTTTAATATGATTACACGCTTGATACACAAGCCTAATCATATATGCATTGACGACAGATAGACGCTTAATCATATATGATTAAACACATTCAAAGGAATGTAATCATATATAATATCAAAACTTCTGATAAAATATTTAACTTCTCACATGATCTATACACACACATCTTGGATTAACTTGATTATGAAATAGTGAATAATTAGTAATAATATTAAGTCAAGCCCCCAACCAATGCTGCTATACATAAATCACCTCCAAACCACTACAAAACATCCTCAACAGTTAAAACTGTAAACCCTCCCCCATAAACCATACTTAAACCCCAAAAAGCAATCTCAAATATAAAACTTAACAACAAACATTCTGATTGCACACCATTTCTAATCTTAGATGCTTAGAAGATCAGTAAGCTGGTTTTGCCCTTCCTTGTCTTTTGAAGAGTCTACCTCCGCCCCCGCTGCTGCTGGCGGAGATGGTGAATCCGTGGCGGCCGGAGCCTTTGGAAGCTCGGTTAATATCTGAACAACTTCTCTCATGGTCGGGCGTTCCACCGCCTGTTCTTCAACGCACAACATTGCGGCATAGAACACATGCATCACCTCATGGATGGGGACGGTGGAGAGTCGAGCATCCAAGATTTTCAAGATGCCTTCTTTCTTACCATCTGTTATCTTTCTTACCCATTGAACGATGTCAATACCATCCCCGAATTCTCCGACTGGTTTTCGACCCGTTACTAGTTCTAAAAGAACCACACCAAAACTGTACACATCGCTCTTCTCGTCGACCTTAAGCGTGTACGCATATTCTACAAACAAAAAGACATAGCCGCTATCATCATATGAACCTAAAGTTCTATAATTAATCAGTTATTAATGAATATTTAGACCACGATTGCCGACCATAAGCTAATTTATTTTCAGAGGCTTTGAAAAAAGTCCAGTTCAGTTAGACATAAGGAAGCTTTTGAAACACTACTTCAAGCAGCGTTTCGAAAACCTCGAGGGGGTTTTTCCACTTTTCCCATTATATACCCATTTTATTCTTCTAATTAACTTTCCAACCTGTCTTTTCATTTTACATTATCAACTAGTTTTTTTACCAAACATGATTAGTTTCTCAGCTAACTTATCTGCCAAAAGCTAGCATATTAGCTACGGTCACAAGGGAACATAGCTTATCAGCCAACGACTAGCTTATCAATTATGTTGGTAAGGTTATACCTGGTGCAATATAGCCGTAAGAACCAGCAATGGCGGACATGCATTCGGAGGTGCCAGAATCCTGCATGAACTTTGCAAGCCCAAAATCGGCCACATGAGCTTCGAAATTGGAATCCAAAAGGATGTTATTAGATTTAACATCACGATGGAGGATCAATGGCGAGCAATCGTGATGAAGATAGCAAAGACCCTTTGCGGCCTCTAACGCGATCTTATATCTTGTATCCCAATGCAAATGACCACCTTTCTTTCCATGAAGCATTTCTCCCAAACTCCCATTTGGCATATACTCATAAACCAAAAGATTTGTCTCATGGTTTGAACAGAACCCCAATAATCGCACAATATGCCGATGCCGGATTCTCCCTAGGGTTTGAATCTCGGCATTGAATCCGTGGTCATGAGCTGAACCCCGGCTCATAACGGGCAATCTTTTGACAGCCACGAGCTCGTTGTTTGGCATAACACCTTTGTAAACGATCCCGGCTCCTCCTTTTCCGATAATGTTGTCTTCTTTCAAGCTATCAAGAACATCATCACAAGTGAAATCTAGGCGCTGGAAAGTGGTGAGCTTCCATGATCGAGCTTCACTTCCTTTCTTTATGGATCGAGCTTTGATAATGGCTGCAACAGCAAAGGCAATAGAGCAAACAAGCAGCCCGATAACGAGTAAAAGCTTCAGAGAAGGAGATAATGGCGATTTTGAAGGTGATTGACGGGTGCCATTGATAACCCCTGGTTTACAAGGGCCTAAATAAGGTCCACAGAGATCGGAATTCCCCACAAATGAAGTGTAATTGAAGTAACTGAATTGACCGGTGCCGGGAACCAAACCGGAAAGATTGTTGAACGAAAAATCAACAGATGTCAAGCTTTGCATCGATGCAATGGATGTTGGAATGCTTCCTACCAGATAATTGCGTGATAGATTCAAGTAATTGAGGATGTGCATACCTGTGATTTCAGTTGGGATCTCACCGGAAAATTCATTCCTGCTGAGATCCACATATGTCAAGAGCTTACACCGACTGATCTCCGGCGCTATCTCCCCGGAAAAACTGTTGTGACTGAAATCAATCTTTGACAACTGCTGTAATTCCCCTATTTCTGGAGGAATTCGTCCCGTAAACTTGTTGCCATCGAGCAAAAGCTTCTGCACGCTGGACAAGTTACTAATGCTAGCCGGCAACGGACCGGTGAGGTGGTTGTTGGAAAGGCTAACCTGACCGAGATTGATGGAAACAGAATCTGTCGCCGGGAACTCGCCGGAGAGAAGATTATCTTGTAGCTCAACCTGTGACAAATGGGGCAAATTGAAAAGCCCTTTTGGAATTGAACCGTTGAGATAATTTTCCCCCATCCGAATTCTGCTCAACGATCGACATTCACCCAGAGATTCCGGAATTGGGCCAAACAAGAAGTTTCCTAAAGTGATTAGGGTTTCGAGCTTGTTTCCTGTGCACAAATTAGGAGGAAGAGAGCCGGTTAATTTGTTCGAAGACACATCAAGGATCTGTAGTTTTCCGTTCTGGCCAAGCTCTTGAGGAATGCCGCCGGTGAAATTGTTCTCCCAAAGCTGCAACACCTCTAATTGCGGCAGATCTCCGATGTACTCCGGTATCGAGCCATGGAGTTTATTACGGAACAGATTGAGCAAGGTAAGATTGCTGAGCTCTTTGAACGATTCCGGTATCTCTCCGGTGAATATATTGTTTGATAGATCCATTGATTTTAAGCTTTTTAAAGTTCCAAGCTCATTCGTTAGAGATCCAGAGAGTCCGTTTACTTGCAAGAACAACGTGTCTAGGTTTTTAAGTTTTCCGATTTCAGGAGGAATTTTGCCCGAGAGACCGCAGTTTGCGGCGTCGAGACGGATAAGGCTCGATAAGTTACCGATTTCTGGAGGTATACCACCGGAGTAACCATTGTAGTAGCCTAGGTATAACTGTTTGAGTGTAGTTAAGTTTCCAATCTCCGGAGGAATAGGACCGGTGAGCTCGTTGCCAGATACGGCGAGGTATTCAAGGGAAGCAAACCGGCCGTATTCCGGTGGAATAATACCGGAAAAGTAGTTTCCGCCAAGATGGAGGTGACGGAGGGCGGTCATTTCAGAGACGCCAACCGGGAGGTCGCCGGTGAGATTGTTGTTGTAAAGGTCAAGTACCTCGAGAAGCTTAAGGCTGGAAATCTCCGGCGGGAACGTTTCATTAAAAATATTATTTGATAGGTTAAGGAGTCGGAGACCAGAGATAAAGGAAATCTCCGGTGGGATGGGTCCGACAAAGTTGTTGGCAGCGACGGTGAGGTTAACGAGGTTGCGCAAGTGACCAATGTCGGAGGAAAGAACGCCGGTGAGGTTGAGACCGGAGATGTCTAAGGCCGTCACATGACGTCTAGAGTCGCAGGTGACGCCAAACCATGTACAGTGGGTGGTGGATGTGTTCCATGTGGAAAGAAAGGATTGTGGGTCATCTGTAATGGCGGTTTTCAGGGAGAGAAGAGCTCGGAATTCCGGCAAGCGGCCGGGTTTCAGGGCGAAGGAAGTGGTTAATAGTTGTAACAGCAAGAAGAGAAGCAAAACCCTCATTTCTGGCTTCTGTTATTTTCGAGGGAAGGAGGAGAGTGGATAAAGATTTGAGATTTGGGATTTGGTGTTTCCTTTTTCCGTTCAAATTTGAGGGTGAAAAGGAGGGGTACTTTCGGAAAGGAACATGGGCAAAAGCGTCTTTTTATTCTACCTTAAAATTTGTGTTAGTTCAAAAAAAAAAAAAAAAAAAAACATTTTAACCGAAAAGAAATTGATTTTCTAACATTTAATAACATGGAAATTGGCTGATCCAATATGGTTGTCCGGGCTATCGTCATAACCGTTCGTGACATTTTATAAGCCCTGTACAGATTTAAAACAAGGCTCACTATAGAAAATAAAGTTTTTAGCAATGATTTTTGTCGTCGTTAAAAGTCCATTTATCATTAGAAAGAATATATAACAACAACATGTCATCGCTATAGCTTGTGGCGGAAACATGTCATCGCTATAGCTTGTGTTGGAAACAAGTCATCGCTAAAATGCTTATCGTCAAAGCTCACTTTTCTTGTAGTGACCCATGGTAAGTACTAAAAAAATTTAATAAATGTTTTTATTAGTATAAAAATTGAGTACAAGAAATGCTAATAATTTACTGTAGAAATAAATCTTATTTATCTTATTATAGATATATAAGAGAGTACTTAAATTTATGTACTTCTTATTAGGTAATTTGAAACCAAGAATATATAAACTATGAGAAAATTTATTGATTAATCACAAAACCATGAAACACGTCATAAATTATAAGGGCAATAGATTGATTGTCAAACAATAGTAAAATATTTTTTGTAGAAGCAAAAATAGATAGCAATAGTCAACAAAAACAATTAAAACAATATAACTAAATAGCAATAGTCAATAGAAGCATAAATAAAATAAAAATACCCAACAAAAATATATATCAATAGCAAGCACATGATGTTATCGTTAATTGTTGAAACACGAAAACAGTCAAGCATATAGAGATAGCAATAGCCAATGTCATTGGACCTTGCTGAAGATAAAAAAAAAATTAAAGTGACAATAAACAATAACATATAATGAATGACCGGTTATTTTTTTTCTTCTCCAATGTAATTAGTTGATATACTTTTGGGCTCTTATTATCTACTAAATTATTTTTGCCTTTTATTATATGTCACAATTATTTGGGTTTTTTAATTTATTAAATTCTTTTAGACTACTACTGTATGTTAAGGGGAAAACAAGAAACCAACCAACAAACTATAATGATTTTGTAAAATATATCCTAGCTTTCTTTTGATAATCAAATTATGTCACCACTGGGAAAGATTTCTAAGTTCGTCTTTGGATGCGGATGTATGGTTTTAAATAAACTCGTTATGGCATCAAGGTTTAGCTTTTAGTTAACCAATGTGTTTTCACTTCAAGGTTTGACTCTTGCATTGTAATGTGTTATGGCACGTTACAACGCACTATTTGTAAGATGTTGGGTTCTTAAATATATAACCTGAGGATAAATTATAATTATATACAAGACATAAGATTTAATATAAACATAAAAATAAAATTTAAAAACTAAAACCCTAAATAGGTAAATACTTACTCCAATTCCCCTACATGAAGAGTTGAAGACGAACTTTTTGTAAATTGAGGAAAGTAGTGAGTTATAGAGATTTAATTCTGATTTTAGACTCCTGATATCATTTTCTATAAGCTCTATGTTTTCGGTATTAATGGGTTTTCTCTATTTTTTAGTTTTGCTACTTTATATAAGTTATTTATTCTACAGTATTATTCAGAACGCTAAAAAACACAAGTGTGTAATGGTTCTTCTCTTAAGAAGTTACTAATTTGTGAGATCCGTAAGATCCAATTTAAACCACAAAAAAATAGTTGAAAAAAAAATCTAATATAAAATTAAAAACCTCCCTCTTTCTTTCCTCACTCATCTCTTTTGTCTTGTATTTTCTCTCCACTCTCTCGTCTTTCCATAACATACACGAACACGTACATAATTAAATATGAACTCAAGGTGAATATATTGTGAACTATACATACATAATTAAATTTGAACTCAGGGTGAACATATTGTGAACATTTTCTTATAAATATTGTTATAGTTTGTGAATACACTCTAAATCTACGAGATTTAGTATATTATGTGAGCATATTGTGAACACTTTCATTTTATAAGAACGCGAGAACATCATTTTACTAAAGTCAATCACAAGTGATATTATATTTCATCACATTTGATACACATGTGATACTAAATAAGAGACACGAACAATTTTTGACGCGACCTAGGTTATGGGTCAAGTCGTCTGTACACCACTAACTAAGGCCCTTCACATGTATTATCACATGCGATAAGGGTGTTCTAGATGTGATACTAAATCAAAGATGTAGACGACCTTTGGCACTACCTAAGTTGTTGGGTACGTCATATGCATACTACCTCCACCTCTCTCTCTCTCTCTCTCTCTCTCTCTCTCTCTATATATATATATATATTTATAGGGGTCTATTCAAGGGAGAACTGAGTTGTTTGTGGTAACTGTGAGAACCATTATTAACCACAAATCAATAGATAAATTAGGAAATTTATAAATTTGGTAATTTTAAATTAAAATCTTAATGCAAGGATATTTTTGGTATTTTAAAACTCTTCTCTCTCCGGCCACCGTTCTCTGGCCTCCGGCCACTGTCCTCCGGTGATACCACTATGATACCACTGTGATACCTAAAAATATTGACTCTGTTAAACAAAAGATACATTGTGATACCTAATCATATATAAGATGCATAGTGATACCACTGTGTTACATATTCGATCGACCACACAAACGACATCAATGTGATACCCAAACACATATATGATGTATTGTGATACCATTATAGTATCACCGGAGGACGGTGGCCGACGGACGGTGATCGGAGAGAGAAGAGAGGAGGGAGGAAAGTTTTAAAATACCAAAAATATCATTGCATTAATATTTTAATTCAAAATTGCCAAAATTATAAATTTCCTAATTTATCTATTGATTTGTGGTTAATATTGGTTCTCACAGTTACCACAAACTAATTAGTTCTCATTTGATTAGGCCTATATATATATATATATATATATATATATATATATATATAGGTGAGTTATTATACAACATTTTTAATTTGTACAACCAATACAAATCAATCTCAACCGTTCATTTAATTTGATGAATATGTGATCTTATAAAAGTTTTGATTATTTCCTAATATAAAGTATTGATCATAATCAATTGATTGGGTTGTACTGGTTGTACAAATGCGATGTATTGCATTTGAAATATACTCTATATATATGTGTATATAAATATGTATATGTATGTGTATATATATATATATGTATGTATATATATATATATATATATATATGCCGTCTTAGGGCACGTCGTGACAAAAAAGGTGACCTTTTTGTAACTCGTATGCCTTGAGACTTGACCTCGGTCCACGCATCACACCTAACGTCATTTAGAGCCTTATGTAGATGTCAAGTTTATTGACCACTTCATTATAACCTTTCATTAGACAGATATCCAATTTATCAAATATTACGAAATCAATAGTTTAACAATCAAATGGACATATAATATAAAATTGTGAAATTTGGTTAGATTCAGTATTAACTAACAAATTCGTTACATAAAATAGGAAACTAAATTAAACTTTATTGTGATTTGAAACATTTTTCTCTTAAAATTTATATCAAATGGGCACGTCGATGTTTTTTCGTCTTCCATTGCCAATTTATGCCTGAATTATTAAACCGTTTGAACCAAATCGTTTATGGTTGATGTTATTCTGACCAAACCAATAATATAGTCAGATTAGATTTGTAAAATGTTCGGATTGAGTTTACCAATTTGGTCAACGTTTTAAATTTGCCAAATTAATTGAAGAATGTTAAACAACATAGGGTAGAGAATAGATTTGTACCATTCTTCTTGTTTTTTATATTTTGTAAACATACATCTAGAACATCATACAAATAGAAATTCAATCATAAATGCAAAAAATAAAGAGTTTAAGAGACATGACCGACACGAGTATTTAAAGTGATTCCGACATCTTATTCTAATCTATCTTTTTTGAGACCAAACTTGAGAGTTGATATACTAAAATATCGTGATCATTAATCGTGGATACAAAATGTTAAGGTGAGTAGTGTAAGAAGAGATTTGCACCATTGATCGCTTTTAATCTAAAAAACAACCCATGATCAGGTGTATCTCATTAACGTTGATCAGGTGTATCTCATTAACATTGAGGGCGTTCTCTTATAGTTTGAGCCAATACTCAACTTCGTCAGATGACTGTAGGTTTAGAAGTCAGGAGAATACTGTGTATGTTGAGAAATGATAAAATATAGGATTTTAAAATCTGAAAGTCCGTAAGAACAACATGAGTATCCATGCTTAAAAAAATGTCATTAAACAAAAAATACACGTGGAAATGAAAACCATTGCACAATTATTTCTAAAAAAGAAAATACGAATAAGTTTGACTTACTCGTGTCTCGTTTTTTTTGCAGATTTATGAGATGTTTGACAGTTGCTGAATAATTTAGTATAAAATGATTAAGTTGTCATTATGATTAAGAAGCTCTCATGATATAGTGCAAAAATGAAATATAATTGTTTGACAATTGTTTACAATGAAATTAGGGCGCTGAATGGCTAAAGGAGGTTCAAAATACAAAATCATTCAAAGGGTTTTAGATAACCATTAAGAGACATACTTTTTTTACCAAACAAGATTCACCTCTTAACGATTCAGAGACTGCCTTTTAGTGGAACTATTAAGAAATAAACAAACAACTTTTATACTTCCCAATAACGGCTTCCAAGTTTTCAATTGAAAAAAGTTGTAAATAATTCAAGATTTGCAAATATATGATATACAACAATAAATAAGCCCGTTAATATTAAGTGACCGTTTATTAATCTAGACAACCAAAATGCAACGAATGCATAGGTAACTACAGACAATAC